CTTTCCCATTACCCTCAGCCTTCAACAATGGTGAAGTCAGCAACATGAGTGAGGAAAGAAGTTGGAAATACAGGGGAGTAACTGTGAAGGAACAGACAATGTGCTCCACATCGCTGTACATTTTCAAGGCAAAAGTCAGGCCTGAACATGCGGCAAGGGAAGAAAAGAGCATTGAATTGTACATGAGACTGAAGTTTTGTTTCAGACTAGATAATTTTTTTAAAGTCTGATAATAGACTATCCTAAGGTATTTGTCACTGATATGTTAGCTGTCTATTACATTGAAAAATACACATTCCAGGTGTAATAGTATAGCGTATAGTACTGAGAATCTATAGAATCCTCCAGGGACAGAGAAGACATAGCCAAGTGGGGGTATTTAATGGCAGCGAGTGGGGAAAAATTGAGTCGTATCTTATTCAGACCCTCTGGAGCTTAACTCATTTAATCAACTATCTGTAAAAAACACACACGTGTGTATTTGCCCATACATACATAGTTGTCCCTTGGTATCCACAGGGGATTCGTTCTAGGACCTTTGCAAATACGAAAATCTGTGGATGCTCAAGTCCCTTATATAAAATGGAGTATTATTTGCATATAACCTATGCACATCCTCCCATATACTTTAAATCATCTCTAGATTACTTATAATACCCAATACAATGCAAATATTGTATAGTTGTTATGCTGTACTGGTTATTTTAGTTGTATTATTTTTATTGTTGTTTTGCTTTTTTAAAAAAATATTTTTGATCAGTGGTTTGTTGAATCTGCAAATGCAGAACCTGCAGATATGGAGGACTAATTGTATCATGTACACACACACATATGACAAACTTTGGTTAATCTCATTGACAGTACAACTATAAGTGAATAGTGAGTCATCCAAGGAACAGGACATCTTCTATTCATAAGGCCCTTTATGCATTTTCTAATATAACCTCTCATCCAATGGAGCAGTCTTTTCTACTACATTATGTACAGGGAACAGTAACAATAAAAATAACCAGAATGAGTTGAATACCAACGATGTAGAAAACGTGGGCTAAACAATTTATATAAGTACTGCTTCATCTCACCCTCATTTAATTTTTTAAGGGGTAGATAATCATGTTCTCATTTTAGAAATGATGAAACTAACTTAGAGAGGTTGAGTGAAGTAAAAGCTCTAAGATTTAGATCAAGGCCTGCATATGTTTCAAAATATGTCTTTGTTCTTTTTATTATTATACTTTAAGTTCTGGGTTACATGTGCAGAACGTGCAGTTTTGTTACATAGGTATACACGTGCCATGGTGGTTTGCTGCACCCATCAACCCATCATCTACACTAGGTATTTCTCCTAATGCTATCCCTCCCCAAGCCATCCCCCAGCCCCCGACAGGCCCCAGTGTATGATGTTCCCCTCCCTGTGTCTATGTATTCTCATTGTTCAACCCCAACTTGTGAGTGAGAACATGGCGGTGTTTGGTTTTATGTTCCTGTGTTAGTTTGCTGAGAATGATGGTTTCCAGCTTTATCCATGTCCCTGCAAAGGATATGAACTCATCCTTTTTTATGGCTGCATAGTATTCCATGGTGTATATGTGCCACATTTTCTTAATCCAGTCTATCACTGATGGACATTTGGGTTGGTTCCAAGTCTTTGCTATTATGAATAGTGCCGCAATAAACATACGTGTGCATGTGTCTTTATCATAGAATGATTTATAATCCTTTAGGTATATGCCCTGTAATGGGATCGCTGGGTCAAATGGCATTTCCAGTTCTAGATCCTTGAGGAATCGTCACACTGTCTTCCACAATGGTTGAACTAATTTACACTCCCACGAACAGTGTAAAAGCATTCCTATTTTTCCACAACTTCTCCAGCACCTGTTGTTTCCTGACTTTTTAATGATCGCCATTCTAACTGGCATGAGATGGTATTTCATTGTGGTTTTCATTTGCATTTCTCTAATGACCAGTGATGATGAGCATTTTTTCATATGTCTGTTGGTTGCATAAATCTCTTCTTTTGAGAAGTGTCTATTCTGTCCTTTGCCTATTTTTTGATGGAGTTGGTTTTTTTTTTTCTTGTAAATTTGTTCATATATTCTTAACTTCACAAAGTCTGCTTGAGAATTTTTGAAAAGGGAGACATACTGTAGAAAAATTCCAATCCTTTATAGTACATGTCATATTATTATGAGATTCTTCTGTACATTAAAACTCAAATACTTTTCTGTATAACTTTTACCCACAGATTCTGCTTCAAGTCTAATCTACTAGGTTGGTACAAAAGTAATTGCGATATTTGCCGTTACTGTTAATGACAAAAGCCACAATTACTTTTGCACCAACCTAATGTCTTCAACATGGCCTCACATGGGAGAACATGGCTGTTCATTAATTTATCCATCGAATGAGGATGTATTGGTTGTCTAGTCTAAGCCACATACTGTTCTAGGTGTTGAAGTTAACAGAATGAACAAGACAAAGTTCTTGCCTGCATAGAACATATATCCCATCAAATATCTTCTCATAGATCTTCCCTCATTCACTCTAAACATGCTCAGTCCCTTCTTTTTTCTCATTGAAAGTTTTTAAAAATTAAAAACTATATATATGTTATCTAGAACACAGTGGGCTACAAACACTCTTATGCAAATGTACTTATAATTATCATACTTACAAAAGCAAAAAAGAAAACGCTAAATATCTAAGATGGTGTAAAAGTTTGACCTCAGTTTTCTGTATGTGCATGTGAGTGGGCTTGCCCATAAATGCACATAGAAAAAAAGACTGAAAGAAAATACATCGAAGTCTTAACAACAGTTATTTAATGGTTGGTTAACGTTAATCATGTTTTCTGTGTTTTCTATCTTTTCTATAACAAACATCTTACTTTTAAAGTGTAATGTGCATGTGTACTCTGTACAGGGCATTGAAGGAGGCCCTGCAGTAACTGTACAATCACCACAGTGGAGCATCTGGTCAGGAATTGCAGTGTTTATAAATTAAAATGAGTATTTACATGAATGCACATGTATAAGTAACTGTATGACCAATTTTTATTTTCCACGACTCACTTTTTATCCCATGTTTGTTTCACACCATCATCTACATAAGTTACATTTCCTCATGGTCAGCTGAAAGCCAACCATGTTTAATAACAGCATAAGAAAAGTACATGGAGGAAGATAAATGTAATGGTGGCAAAAGGATAACCACCATGAGTTCAGAGCCAAGTATAAAATGATTTTTGATTATACTCTCTTTTGGTTTATCTGAGTTCCTGATTGCCTCTACATACAAAGATCACTGATCAGTGAACATTTATTTAGCAATAGTTTTGACCATTGATGCAGAATCATAACAGCTTTATAAAATGAATAACAAATTTATAAAAACTCAAACTCCCATTTTGAAGATAAATGACTACTCTTTTCATAGCAATGAACAGTTGGAGGCTAAATGTCTTATATTTTGACATTGTATGCTTACAATTTGTCACCAGTATTTTAGCTGTCTATTAAATTGTAAAATATATGTTTGTACATCCTGAGGTTTAATGGCATGGCATGCAGTAATGGCAGTAGCTAATAACTAATAAGAAATAAGCAAATGACCTGTTTGGGAGGGGCGCAGAGTGGATTAAAAGTGCTATTAGGTAAAATTGATTTTTGATTATACAGATTTAAAAAGCTGTATTTCTGACATCTGTATTCCAATAGAAAAATAATACAGGTACATTATACTATTTGTTACTCTAGGAGATAAAAAAGTATTAGAGATATCTCTATTCCTTTCTCCATGACCATATAAAACCTAATGTTTATCTTTGGAGGCATGGGACTTAATAAGTTGTGTAAATATTTCTCCAGTATTCAGCCCACCTCTATTATAACCACAGACGTCCTCCATATGTCATCTTATATTCTAGATATGGGAAATAATGTGGAACATGGTCTAACATTTCTCATTATGTCAAATTCAGCACAACCAAACATAAACTCAAGCCAGCAAAAATATGGGATTACATCTTTGTTATTTTCCTGAAATGCATTTTGGAGAGACTGCTCAACCAGTATGAGACAATGTACACTGAATCCTAAATTGAACTCATATTCTGGAAAATTGAAGCCAATGGCTCATTGTACTCAGTGGAATGGGGAAGCACACAAAGGCACGCTTATGGGGTGCTAGAGCATTTCAAAAGTGGGATATTTATCATTACTTAAGCAATATTTACAAATGCAGATGGCCTGCTTTTTATAAAAATAGATTACACAGCCACTTATGGATTATTATTTGAGGTGCTACAAAATGTCTATATGTCCCTGATATCGATCCCACACTCCTCTGTCACCATGCCACATTTCTAGGAATTTTCACCATTTTGGATGACTCTACTGTTCCTTCTCTAGGTAACTGTGCCACTCAAAAATAGTAGCATATCAGCCATTAAAGGAAATTGAGGCATAGCAATGTTTCATATATCAGATTGCTGCACCCTAATACTGTACATTAATTTCTTTCATATATTCATTGATATGGCTCTTCTGTGTAAATTTCCAGGAGCCTAATTCAAATTTTTATTACTATAAATGACTTCATTGAACATATGAATTGCAATAGTTTCACCAATAAATACTTGAAAATATGGCCTAAATTGCATCAGTCTTACTCCAATTCTTGCAAGCTTCATGGCTCATAAACAACTGAGGTCAAAAGCACTCAAGGGCTTTCTAGAATCTCTAAGCCATGTTTCTGCCTCTACTCATTTCTCTTCACTCTCAATACTAATTTCCCTTTCCTCTAAATGATATGATTTTGAGGGTTCCCCATGTTCCCAGATCCCCAATTCTCTCAAACTCAGCTTTTTGTCCTCTTATTGCATTCCTATCTACGACAGTGTCATAGAGTGGCCAACATTTCTGTCCTCACAGAACTCTCCAGCCCACAAGACCTTTGGGAACCTTTCATGTAATCTGTTATCAAGCGAGATTTCTTACCTTTGGCAGAGATGCCCTGGAGCCTGAACTCTGGGTGGTCATCGTTAAGACGGTGGTGATGCCCAGTGCGACCCTGGCAGGGGCTGCGTCCATGTTTATCCAAAAGGAAACCCAGGACAAAATTACTATAAGCAGGCTTGGGATATACATCTGGATCAAATAATATCCCATTTGGCGTTCCAGATGAAACTTGACCTCAATGCAGGTAAACTTTCCTAGAAGGAGTAAATGATCATTTAAAGTCCAGTCTGAATTTATATTTCCAATTCCGCTATCCCACGTTGTTTAAAAAAAAAAAAAAAAAAAAAAAAAAGACTACTGCAGATGGATTTGGAAGATTGCACAAAATGTTCACCCTACATAACCAATTCAACTCTTCTCCAACTGAACCAGTAATAGAAATAATTACTGTGGAATAATAGTGATAATAATAGTGTGAGAATGTGTGATCTAAAGAGTCACTGGACCAAAACCATAAGGCATATTTAATTTTTAAAATCTGTGCTTGCTGCAGCTTGATTGTTTTAGACAGAGCTTCAGAATTTACAAGACTGACAGAAAATTACCAGTGGAAATAAAATATTCAAATTTTGTGTGGTTATAATATGTAATATATAGTATATTCTATTAATAGCATATACTATATGGCATATAATATGTAACACATGACATACACTGTATAATAGTTGAAGCCATTTCCTCCAAAGAAGTACAGTTTACATAAAACTACAAAGTATTTAAAGAACTGTGTATCTATCATTGTGTTATTAATGGCAAGAGAAAAATGTACATTTGTATAAGCCAGTGTATAATCTAGTCATTGTAAAAATTTCCTAGCCTTCTGGGTAATTGCTTCAGTACATTTAGCATATGCCTAGGAACTATGTACATTGTTTCTTTCCCTGTAAAAAGGAGGTCATATAAAGGCATTAAAACTTTTAACATTTAAGAGATAGATCTTTCTACCTCTTCCCACTTTTTTTCTCCTTAATTGACTTGGAGTTAGAACCCCAGAAGGTAATTTTGCTTATTCCATACAGATTACAAGACATAGGGTTGAATCCTTGGTCAGAAAAAAAAAATCCTTGGAATCAGGTTTTGGTTACTTCATAAGTATCACCGTTGGCTGCTGGAACAAGTGTGCATAAACTGTTTTCCCCAGCAAGGGACCTAGATCAGTTACTGGACAAACCATCATGTCTTGATTGTCTCTCCATGATCAACTTGCATGGTACTGAACACCATGGTTTTTCTTGGGAAAAACCATCAACTTTTCTGGACGGGTAAAATCTTCCAGAAAACAACAGATGCCTATTTGTTGCTACCACCTCAAGTTCTTCCTCTACCACCTGTCCCCCAACCCCATGTGTCTGTCAGTACTATTGATAACACATGACTTTAGAGCCAGCTGAATTCCTGCCAGCTGACTTTCATCCAAATTTCTATTACTATCTAGGACTGAAGAACACAACAGCTTTATTTCTGGGTTTACAAAGACCTGTGTTATTGTCCCTCTTTTCCACTAGGCACTAAGACAGTAAGGCAGAGGGTGCAAATTTACCTAAGCATCCAATGGCAAGAGCGGATGCCAGAAAGGAGCCAGAATTCATGTTTTCTGCACCACTAATGAGGTTTTCTACACCTTTCCCCAGACTCATTTGACAACAGATGGTCAGCTAGGGAACAGCAAAAGATCCTAAATCCTCTCTCCTTCTCTCTGTGTTCTGGAGAAATTACCTCTTGTGTTTGCTGACCTATTCCAGAGAGTATGGGAATCTTATCTGTTGAGGGAGTTTTGAGTCAAATCAGGTCCATGCCACATAGGTCTATTTGCCTGGTAAATATGCAGCAATTAAAGTAACGAGATATATACGCCAAGCTGCAAATGGAGCTCACTTGTGTTTAACAGCTAAAAAAAAAAAAAAAAAAAAAAAAAAAACACTTACCAGTGTTGTAGTGCTTTGTGCAGTAGCCAAGTTCCTTCTCTTCTTTCAAAATAAACTGGGGCAGGGTCAATCCTTCAGCAACTTGCACTGGACCATCGCTTAACCACTCAAATATCAGGTCATTCATCGTGTACCCAACTGAGGTAAAGAAATCATAGTGAAAATTGAATATGGCTTTCCAAGAAAGCTTGAAAGTCTACCCATGTAAAGAAACAAACAAGGAAACCATCTAAAGCGGACATATGCTCAGTCAATTCAACAGCATTCTTAATAAAAGAGCTGCAATCATCACTACAACTCGGTGTCATTGGAGCCAAAGAAATTTAAGACAGAAAGCTACTTATGGGTGGATTTTTTTTCTGTGTAATGAAAGAATGGAATCTAAAAAGTTTATTGATTTCTGCCTTTTTATTCACTAACTCTTTCTGAAGAACAAACAAGTAAACAAACATAAAAATCCTTTGAAGATTGTCTTTACTTGCAAGAGCTGAGGCTTTGGCAATTCAATAAGACAATCCAATCCACAGTGCCAGTCTTAGTACTTCAAATGAAAACCATTCTTTTTTTAAATGAGAATCAATTCATCACGGGCCTGCCTAAAACATTCCCATTGCAGACTTGGCCCTCCTCCTAGGGTCTATTAGCTTTGCATTCAGAAAGCTTATGTTAAAGTCCCTCTACTTTAGCAAATGGGGAAGACTATTGGCAGGTAACCTAAGAGGAAATTGTGGGATATGCAAATTAAGAATATTCATTTGTGCTAGTGTCTTGCTAAATGGGCCCACTCATCATAATTATTAATACGAAGTAAAACAGATTACCTATTATGAAAAATCATATTGTTATATGACTCAAATCATCCAAAATAAGATTGTTATCAGTTTGGTAATCCAAAGTTAGCTCTTAGTCTCCAGGCTCCTGCTAGCTAGGTCATCATCTGTCAATTGTTTCTGGATCTTTCTCTACCCTAGAAATGAAGCCTACTCTTCTTTCATGCACCATTTCTCTACCTTCTCCCTTTGTTTGTAATATTTGAACTTTTCAAATAAGAGTGATGAGGACAGGGGATGTTATGTGAGGTCTTGGCTGGTCGAAAACCTCAGCATGGTTTTTTTAAGTGTATGGATTCTTATTCTTATTTACTGCAAGATAGTGACTCACCAAAGCTACCCAGAAATCAATGGCAAGTTTAATTGTAATCTACTTTCCTGTTTCTTTATGTTGAAAAGGACTACCTTTTCAACATAAAGCCCCCCCCCCCAAAAAAGAAGAAGAACATTTAAAGTAAGGAGATACAAAGAGGCCCTATACAAGCACTGATGATCCTCAAAGAGAATGGCAAACCCTATCTGTATGGGTACACCTTGGAAACCTCCAGCAAATAGTATTCTAAGCTCACAAAATATCCCATGTTCTTGTCTGTTAAGCTTCTCGTTGGCCACCACAATAAAAGTTCTTGTCAGTCACCCTGAAGCCTCAGCATGGGGAAGACAGCAGAGGTAAAGAGGTAGGGATGAAGAAAGTAATAATGGGATAGAAAGGAAAAAAAATTATAATTCCCACCCTTCACATCCAAAGTTAGTGGTAAACATGATGTTTCTTTGATTTCATTATTCATGCCAGGACTGAGCTTATTTACTAATCCAAATTTTCTAAGCCTTGGATGAGCATCAGTTGACAGCTATGGCTACTGTTTTACAGAAAAAATAAAAGTGTTGGGTTGAGTCGGGAGATTTTGGAGCAGTAGAGAAAATAGAAAGAAGGAATCATTATGTAAGAAAATGTTTTTCTCAGCTTTCTTCTCAAGAGAAGGAGCGATAAGGAAAAAAGTATATAAGGCCTATTTTGAATCAGAAATTTTCATTTTATCTATGACAACTTCTTAAAGAGGTTTCATCATTTTGTTTATTTCCCTGGGATGTTTCAAGGAAAATCCATAGTGATTTTAAATGATCAGAATGAAACCAACCCTGTCACTACCTCTTTTTAAATAACATATAAGTCTTTTTACACATATTATTTTTCTAAGCCAAGAAGTTAAAAGTATTTCCTTGCCCCTGCCTCATTAAATCTCCTAACATCCATGTAGGTCGGTGGCACTTATTATTCTCTGTATTTTACAAACAGAGAAACTGATAGACCAAGCCAGAAAGAAATTCATGTTTCTTAACTGAAAATCCTGTTACCTTGGAGGCATCAGCAACTTATGGTGACACATGTCAAAGATTTTAGTGGCATCAGGGTTAGGTAATAAAGGGGACAAAGTAGATGGGGGGTTTTCTACTTGCTTCACCATGCTTTTGTGTATCCACTGCTTATCTAAGAGAAATGCCTCTTATTCTATCTTATTCCATCTCATCTCATGCTCCTCATTCTTACATCCTCCTCTGGCCAAGGTCGTTATGTCTTGTTCTCAAAGCAATTATCCCACCCTGCCAGAATTCCTTTTGGGGTGATGGTGTATACGGGCATAAGATGGAAAGAAACTCAATTTTCTGATTAAAAAGTGATTCACTATAAAAATTTAATGACTAATAATTTTAATTTTCCCAGGAGACATTTTCATTTCAATGAAAAGCTTACTAAATCAGGCTATTTTGCGGGGTAGGGGGGACAAAGGAAAGTTATTTGGCATTTTACTTTGAAAGGTTGTCTATGCTGTATTGATAATGAGATTTTGTATGACACACACACACACACACACACACACACACACACTTTGGTTTGTCTTTCCATTAGGATGTTGGGGGTTGGTCAGTATATAGGGAATGAGTCATAAGGGTCCTTTCTCTTTAATTACATACTGAAAGAACCAGGTCATTGGTTAAAACAAGCAGGGAGTCATTTCAACAGTGGTGACTTACAACTCTCCAGCTGCATTGTACAGGTCTGGACATCCATCGGAAAGTTCTTCAAGTCCATGGGACAGGATAGGGTCAAGGTGAGTCTTAGCAAACAAAAAAAATTAAAAACCATTTTTAAATCTATGAAGTCCACTTGTTGAGAAACAAGCAAAAGACACTTGGCATTAAGCAAAGTGACATTGATTCAAATAATGAAATCTAAGCTCTAAATCAGGGCAGTGCTTTTTGTTTCTAAAATGAAGAACAGTCATTGATAATTTTTTAAAAATATTGTAGTATTTCACCATAACCTCTTACTCTATTTTTCATCTTCCAGCCTCTGATTCTCCCTCCTTCCCCAAAAATGGTGCTGTTCTCAGCTTTGTACTAGAATAAACAAGACCACTGAGATATAACTTAACAAGAACAATAGACTCTTACCCACACTAATGTCCAAAAGATATAAAGTTTATACTATTTTAGAATTATACCTTGGACTTTGCTTCAAGGACAGAAATGATGTAATAAGTGTAATTGATTATGGTAAGTGCTAGTTCTTCTTACATCAAATGGGCAAATGCTTAACTCCACAGTCTTCTCATTTACTACATGGATAGGTTAACAGTATATTTTAGCATTTATTCTAGAATTTTGATAATTCTGGAGCAAGTAGTTCTTGAGCTAGAAAAACCCATTTAAAGATGATGGTTTATTTAATTAAGTCCCACGTATTTATCTTTGTTTTTATTGCATTTGTTTTTGGGTTCTCGGTCATGAAATCCTTGCCTAAGCCAAAATCTAGAAGGGTTTTTCCAATGTTATCTTCTAGAATATTTATAGTTTTAGGTCTTAGATTTTAGTCCTTGATCCATCTTGAATTGATTTTTGTATAAGGTGAAAGATGAGGATCCAGTTTCATTCTCCTACATGTGGCTTGCCAATTATCCCAGCACCATTTGTTGAATAGGGTGTCCTTCTCCTACTTTATGTTTTTGTTTATTTTGCATGGCAAAAGGAACAGTCAGCAGAGTAAACAGGCAACCTACAGAGTGGGAGGAAATCTTCACAATCTATACATCTGACAAAGGACTAATATCCAGAATCTACAATAAACTCAAACAAATTAGCAAAAAAAACAAACAATCCCATCAAAAACTGGGCTATGGACATGAATATTCTCAAAAGAAGATATACAAATGGACAACAAACATTAAAAATGCTCAACATCACTAATGATCAGGATAATGCAAATGAAAACCACAATGCAATATCACCTTACTCCTGCAAGAATGGCTATAATCAAAAATAAAAATAAAAAAATAATAGATGTTGGCATGGATGTGGTGAAAAGGGAACCTTTCTACAGGGAATGTAAACTAGTACAACCACTATGGAAAACAGTGTGGAGATTCCTTAAAGAAAGATAAGTAGAACTATTATTTGTTCCAGCAATCCCACTACTGGGTATCCACCCAGAGAAAAAGAAGTTATTATATGAAAAAGATACTTGCACACACATGTTTATAGCAGTACAATTCGCAATTGCAAAAATGTGGAACCAACCCAAATGCCCATTAATCAACAAGTGGATAAAGAAACTGTGGTACATATATATGATGGAATACTACTCAGCCACAAAAAGGAATGAATTAATGTCATTCACAGCAACCTGGATGGGATTGGAGACCATTATTCTAAGTGAGGTAACTCAGGAATGGAAAACCAAATATCATATGTTCTCACTCGTAAGTGGGAGCTAAGCTATGAGGATGCAAAGGCATAAGAATGACACAATGGACTTTGGGGATGCAAGGGGAAAGGGTGGGAGGGAGGTGAGGGATAAAAGATTACAAATTGGGTTCAGTGTATACTGCTCAGGTGCTGGGTGCACCAAAATCTCACAAATCACCACTAAAGAACTCAGTCAGGTAACCAAATGCCATCTTTTCCCCAAAAACCTATGGAAATAAAAAATGTAAAAAGGAAAAACAAACTACTCACCCCAAAAACCTATGGAAATAAAAAATTTAAAAAGAAAAAAAAAGGAAAAACTACTCATTATCTTACAAAACAAACAAACAAACAAACGATGGTTTGTACATAGTCTTCAGCTCTCTGCACCCAGTAAGGGTTACTCTGCTCCACTTTCCTCTTTCCTCGATTTTCTTGAACTCCAGTCAGCTCTGGCTGATCCTTATATCAGGATATTCGTTGAGCTACCATCTCATTTCCACCATATCCCTTTTTAATCCTCAAGGGAATGATGCACACCTCTTGCTCTCCCATTTTTCTATATCTCCAAGATTCAAGGAAGGAAGTTAGGATTGAGAATTAGTAAATCTTGGTTGCCTTCCTAGTACTGCCTCTAACTATCTCTTCCCCCAAACAAGACCTTAAACTTGCTAAACATTTGTTTTGTCATCAACCAAATGATGAGGTAGGTAGATGCTTATTCTCATTTGATCCTAATACTACAATCCCTATTTTTCTAAAGTTGACTGCTTCAAATTCTGTTCATCGTATCTCAAACACCTTTTATATCCAAAGACCCCACGAAATCTCACACCGTTGCCTAAACTCTCCTTTGCTGTCATGCTCATTCTTGCTCTGCCTTCCTGGTTCCTTTATCTTTCCTTTCTCTGCTTCATTTTTACAATCTAGCAAACGAAACAAAATTTAACACATGTATTTTAAAGAAAGGAAAGGGTTGCGATTTGAAGTCATATTAGACAAAGAATCCATGCTGACAATCATCAAAATTATTAAAATATAATGATTGGAAAAATAAAGATATAAAACAGTGTAATATGAAAACATGTTTTAAATCTTGGAAATAAACACACCATTATATTAAGATTAGATATTTTTGGTTAGTGGGATGATTCATATTTTGTTTTTATTCTTTATCTTGCATTATCTGAATTGAGAAGTATAAATTATTTGAAAATGTCCATAAAAACTATTTATAACAGCTTTCCCATCTTCATGTAATTAGATGTGCCTTTCTTCAAACAATAACTGAAAAGTAAAATTATAAAATTCCATTTTGTTCAGTAATGTTTTGCTATTATAATCATATGATTATTAAAAATTTGTCACAAACATACAGCATTTCACATTCATTGCTAAATAAATTAGCTACCTTCTGTGGGCTATTCTGAGAACCCAAACATGTCTCTAAAGGAAAAAACGTGGCTTATAGTTCTAAACAACTGACTTAAAAATAACATTTTAGGCAGGAAAAATTGTTGTTATTTATGGAGTTCGTGTGTAGATATAGCTATAGATATACAGATATTTAGTTTTTGTCTCCCAGCATAAAGACTTTATTTTTTTGAAAACACAATTTTGTGGAGATTAATGCCGTGAACTCTTTGAAATAAGGACAGAATAAAAGAACCAAAAAAAAAGTAAAAAAGAAAAAAAACAGAACTGGCACCTTATTAAGGGTGAAAAAAATTCAAAAGGCTCCATGAGCTTAAAATTATTATTACCATAATGAGAATCTATTTTTTTCTGTTTTTCAAAGAAGAAATAAATATTTTCATCATACAAAAATATGTTCATTCATAACTTGGCTATTATGAATAGCACTGCAAAAGGAAACAAAGCCTCAATTAGACAGAAGGACTAGATTTTTCTTTCTTGGAGATATATTGCATAGCATGGTGAAAATAGTAAATCATAATGCATTGTATATTTCAGAATTGCTAAGAGAGTAAATTTCAAGTGTTCTCACCATAAAAAATAGTAAGTATTTGAGGGAATGGATATGCTAATTTGCTTGATTTAATAACTCCACATTCTATTGATAAATCATAACATCACTTTGTACCCCATAAACATATAAAACTATAATTTGTCAATTTTCAATTCAAAAACTTAAAATTTAAAAAAATGTTCATTATATGAAAATAACTAGATGGTATGTGGATAATTGGTTTCAGTGAATCAAAACCAAAAAATCTGGAAATTTCATTATAGTTTTGAAAAGTTTACTTTTAAGAAATTAAAAATAATAATAATGAAAATGAACACACCTTAAAAGAGCATGTTAAGAACATCACAGAATTCAACTATATATTGCTTTGTTATTAGAAACAACCCAACTTTAATATTCCTAATCATAGGCTTGCTGAATTTGATTGTTTTGCAAAACGACCTTTTCACATTTCTTCAGGAAGCAGAGGTCTCACACACAATTATTGCTGCCTTTGTGGCAGATCTAACTATCCTAGAGGGGCTCTGCAGTTTGGGAGTCAAAACTATTAACAGCATGGGAGACCCCACTGAGATAAATTCCTAACAAGCAGGACCCTATCCCTGAATCTTGTCTCAGCTGAGAACTCAGTGGTTTTTTTTTTTTTTTTCTTTGTTTTTCTAATTTCCTTTCTAGGAAGCTCACAGAGTTTAAGCTTTGTTCCCAAATTCATAAAACCAGTGAGTGACCAAAGTTAGATTTGAATACAGCTTTAACCGACATCAAATTCCCTTTATTATTTCCCACACTACCACATTTCATATTTCCTCCTTAGGAAAATAATCTGTTACCAATTTATTATCCTCCTTTGTCTATGAAGCCAGCAGAGTTGGTCATAGACACCTTAGTTGCCTTGTACCTGCTCAGGGATACCCCTTTCATTTTTCCTCAGACACCCAGAATTCTCATGGCTTGTTGTTTTAAAAACTCCTCCAGCCTCTCCCGGCAGCCCAGAAACCTGGGTGATAGACCTGGCTTACCCATAAAGAGCTATTTGATCTTGACTAAATCTCTGGGCCTCCCCCAACAAACATCCCCATCCTGCTCAACATCTCTGTGATTATAAACTGTAAGTGAAGGCAACCAGCTTGAAGGATTTCCTCTTATAGGTAAATTTACCCTCTTGAATATGAGGAAAACTTTAAGTGCAAGGAACACTTCTTAAAATAGGAACTTCTTGGCAATCTGGGCAGATAGGTGAGACATCTATTGCTTCCACAGGGCTTTGTCATCCAATGTCCTAGAACACTATCCACTCTTTCACTGAGAACATAAGGAAGGCCTTCCTGTACCATGTTGATCCGTTGAATCTTTCCTCCCAGTTGTACCTTGAAATTTCTGAAC